GGAGAAGCCAAAAAAACTAAGAAGCAAATGATTGTTTCGGCAACCTTAAAGATGAAGAAACTGCCATGTTTAACTATTATCATCGCCTTTCGGACTATTATGAACTCTAAATGACGAAGTTACTTTCAAACAAGAGGTTACATGTGCTGCTGAAGATTAAAGATACACATATGAGAGGTTTGCATTGACTGTAGGCTATATTTTGTGTTGTTTTTGAACCCAAATAAGGACTAAATGTTTGCTGTGTGTAGTTTTTTTGTAATTGGTAACATATCGGAGACTGTAAGGGGCTGTAAGTGTTTATATATGTTGCATCTATTAATTTAATTTATGTAATTGCAGATGTTACAGTAGGCTTTTTTGTGTTGATCTGCAGTTATAATCAAAACATGTTCATAGAAAGATTAGTAATGGACATTTAAACACAAGTATTTATGTGTAAAAAGCATCTGCTTTGTAAAAAGTGCTTCTCATGTGATATGTGAACGACCCGTACAGCTTTACTTTGACCTTTCCTCAAGCGAAATTTGGCGTCGGCTGAAACTTTTTGTCGTACACCACGCCCACCAAAAGAGTACTATTGGTACCTTTTAGCAGTGGAAATGCAAGCCTGAAAAAGGTGACCCGTAACGACCTTAAGAGGGGTCTGGCTGCAGACTCTGTACAGTGCAATCTGATCCAATGCTTTTTAATGCACTCACCTAACCCCACCCGTTACAGTGACGTCACTCACTGCATTGAGTGCATTGTGTCTGACATTGCACCGCTGAGTGATGTAATCTCAGCTTGCATCATAAAGGCTGCATCCAGATACCATTGCATTATTTAGTGATTCTATGCTCTTTGCCATGAGAAAAAAAGAGATATGATCTAACGACAAGCATCTAGTTGCTTTCCTAATTATTTATGCTCATTAGTTCTGTTTAAAATAAAACATGGCAAGCCATACGTTTCCATGCTGTCCAATTTCGCTCCTCTTCAAATCAGAACACAGCATTGCCAGTCATATGAGCTGAATGATTCATAGGCCATTTGTTATATTAATTTCAAAATGCTTTTTAAAATGCAAAATAAAACCAAATCATAATTTTCTTGAACAGGTCATGTAATTATATCACATTTGTCTTTGGACTGTGGGGGAAACCGGAGCACCCGGAGGAAACCCACACGAAGGCAGGGAGAACATGCAAACTCCACACAGAAATGGCAACTGAACCAGCGACCCAGCAACCTTCTTGCTGTGAGGTGACAGCACTATCTACTGCGCCACTGCCTCGCCGGAAAAATTAATATTTTTATTATTGTTATATTTTTTTTGTCAAATAAGTTTTATTGATAAAGACACAGATTCAAGACAAAATGAATTCTGTTTACATATATTGTCCACATATAACAAGGCACAGCAAATAAGAAAAATTTAAAGGAGAAATAAAATTAAATAAATAAATAAAATAAAAAACACCCACCCACATAACAAGCAAACTTGTTACAAAGACCTGTTTGAACAACCGAGTATGATGACAAAGCATGTTAAAATATTGCAGAAGTTATGCATAATTACGAGAGTTTTTTTCAAGGTAAAAGATTCCAAGGATTCCAAATTTTGTCAAATTGTTCAAGTTTTCTTTTCAAATAGTATTTAATTCGCTATAGAGGCAATTTCTCCAAGCCACAGTTTACATGTAGGGGATTCCTTTTTTTTTCCAAAACAGGTGCAGCAGCTTCTTGGCAGTAGTTAAGCAGTATGAGAGCAATTTACTTTGTGTATTTGACAACAAATGTGTTTGTTCAGAGAATCTCAGAATCTACTCTCTACTAGCCGGGCTTCCAGCTAACTCTATCAAGCCTCTTCAGCAGCTCCAGAATGCAGCAGCACGAGTGGTCTTCAATGAACCTAAACGAGCACATGTCACTCCGCTGCTAGTCCGTTTGCACTGGCTGCCAGTTGCTGCTCGCATCAAATTCAAAGCTCTGATGTTTGCCTACAAAGTGACTTCTGGCCTTGCTCCTTCTTATCTGCTCTCACTTCTGCAGATCTATGTGCCCTCCAGAAACTTGCGTTCTGTGAATGAACGTCGCCTCGTGGTTCCATCCCAAAGAGGGAAGAAATCACTTTCGCGAACGCTCACGCTCAATCTGCCCAGTTGGTGGAATGAACTCCCTAACTGCATCAGAACAGCAGAGTCACTCGCTATTTTCAAGAAACGACTAAAAACTCAACTATTTGGTCTCCACTTCACTTCCTAATCTGCAATTGCCTCTCTGAATATCACACTAACTGTACCCAAAAAAATAAAAAATAAATAAATAAATAAATAATAATTACTAATACTTCCCTTCTTAGACTTTACAGACCTGAAACTTGCCTATAGCACTTATTCATTGTTGCTCTTAGTTGTGTAAATTGCTTCCTTGTCCTCATTTGTAAGTCGCTTTGGATAAAAGCGTCTGCTAAATGACTAAATGTAAATGTAAATGTTACAAGCATTGGATCTGGTTGTAATTGCAATTTACTTTTATTATTATTGATGAATTATTATTATTATAGAATTGAGAAAAATAGACATTTTTTGTGTCATAAGATAAATATTGAATTAGTGATGTAAAGTAACAAATTACAAATACTCAAATGACTGTAATTGAGGAGGTTTTCTCAGAAATTGTAATTTACTAAGTAGCTTTAAAACTGTTTACTTATATTTTCCCCTTGAGTGCATTTTTGGTGCTGTATCTGTACTTTTAATCCACTACTTTACTTTAATCTGCAGTCACTACTTTATTTTTTTCGTGTTTATGGGATTAGAAAAATCAGTCCTGTAATTCTTGTCCAATCAGAACACACATAGAAAGTAAATTGCATCATGATAAACCACCTCAAGACATGGCCAATTTATAATTGCAGCAAACTGTTTGGAATCAGCAAACTGTAATAAAAGTGTCCAAGATGTCCAAAACCTTTACATGCAATGACCCAGAGACTGTTTAGATGCATGTCACTGATGAGAAGATGATGGATGTTTACCGTGTGAAGACCAAAGTGGCCCTAAACACCCACAGAGCAGGCACAAGACATCAACATGACTTGACGTTGTACAAGATTGACGTTGTACCCCAGCGGTGTAGGGACAATGCATTTTATTTGGAAATGAAAATTGGATTGACGTCAGAACGTCAGAATGTCCAATGTCCAACCTAAAAGCAACCAGATCTAATGACGCTACAGCCTGACGTTGTGTGAATGCTACCACTATGACGTCTATCAGATGTTGAGTTTTGGTTGCTCGTACCTGACGGATAAATAGCCGCGTTTTCACTATCGCACTTAAAGCAAGTGAGCCAGCGCGAGCCAAAGCCAGTCGCGTATCCACTGTCACTTCCGGGGCCTAATCGGGCCAAATCGGGGCTTTCTTGGGGCCTGCGGCCGGCCTTTTTTGGCCTGCCGAATACCTTGGGCCAAAGAGGGAGTATTTGACCTCAAAATGACATTGGTTTAAGATGTTGGCTCTGCATTGGATTTTGTTTGCTTTCTAACGCAACCTAAAATCAACCAAATATTAACATCATTTGACAAAATAATTTGGTCCTTAGACGCTGGCTAGACAATGAATTTTGGTCACCTGACACCACAACCTAAACTTATCCTAATATTAACGTCTTATGACGTTGTGAACCTGCTGGCCAATTACTTGATGCACTACAGAATGTTACGTTTACACACACATGCACATGGCTGTGTCCGAAACCGCATACTTCCATACTATATAGTACGCTAAAATCAGTATGCGAGCCGTGTAGTATGTCCGATTTCATAGAATTCGAAAATCAGTATGCGAGAAGTACCCGGATGACTTACTACTTCCGGCGAGACTCTGAAGTGCGCATCCCAATGCACGCTGCGCTATCCCATAATGCCCCGTGAGAGAATTCATGAATGGAAGTGAGGCGACACAACTGACGCAGGTAGGTCACGTGTCCATGACAAATTGGCGGATGTAGTACGTCCGAATTCCATTCAAACTTTTCACATTCATACTGTATAGAACGTACTTTTCTAACGGCCGAGTAGTACGTTTAAATTCAAATGCAGTACCTACTGAGTAGTAGGCGGTTTCAGACGCAGCCCATGTAAATTCATCAGCTTTTAACAGTGTAATACTCACTACTGACTACTCTTGAGTACTTTTGAAAAGGTCTATTTTTTACTCATACTTTGAAAAGTATTTACCACAGATACTTTTACTCACACTACATTTTTATGTAAGCCATGGTGCTTTTACTTGAGTATGATTTTTCAGTGCTAGAATATGAGAAAGTTTTCTTTTTCTTTTTTTCTTCAAAATCTTGTTATATTCCGCTGTGTATTCACTTTTCTCAAAATGAAATATTTCAAGAGCTTTGTTCTTCTTGCTTTTGTTACAACTCAAAATATTTAAACATTTTCTTAAACTTGAACTCTGCATATTCATGCATATTCAAGTTGTGGAACCACTTAAGTGTGATTTAATAGTCAGTTTCCTGTTACTATCTCTTTAAATAGATTGCAAAAAATAATAATAAAGAACTTGTCGATGCGATTATTATATATTGTTACAATTATATTTGAGAAAGACATCGCTCTTACTTCGCAGAGTTGTCTGTCTCATTTGAGTTTGCCTAAATCTATCATGCAAATTATAATTACTAAAAGGACAGAAAAATAATGAGTATTGAGGGGGCACCCGGATTTGAACCGGGGACCTCTTGATCTGCAGTCAAATGCTCTACCACTGAGCTATACCCCCTTTCTCATACCACACTGCTCCATGAAGTGTTATTGTAGACAAATAAGAAATGTTCATTCTGGTATTTCTTTATTGATTATGTCAGTGGCCTATATATATGATCGGCAATATTAACAAAGATCTATTTATGGTATAAACCGCTCTCAAATATAATTTCATACGTCGTCGTCACATGATAACAAAAGTATATCCGGGGACTGACCGGAAGTACATTAACTCTAGTCGGAAAGACAAGCTAGATAAAAGATGGTAATGTTGAACTTCAGTTTTTACTTTTATTTTATTTTATTTCCCTTTTTTACATTGGGCCATTTTTTTAGATGGCTATTTAGGTTGTTTTCAGCATACTATGAAACTATGTACATATAGCATTGAAAAGCGCTTATTTCAGCTGTGCCGGTTGTTAGCTTGCTAGCATAGCATGGCAGATCGTGTTTATTTATTTCCTAGAGCAGATTAAGTTATCAGTTTGCAATTAATGTCATGAGCACTTATTATTTGCTTTGGCATTTTATTTATGATACATATTATTGCTTTGTATTGATTTTGTCGGCTTTTTTGTTAGCATCTGAGTGAATTGTGATGCGTCATTGCTTCAACTCCAGTCATCGCTTAACTTACTTTCAGTTTGTATTTAAGTTACCTGTAAGTTAGGGGGATTTTTGGAAAAGGTTTTGGGAGATTAAGACATCAGATCAGGCCAGAACTATTATTAATTGTTTCCTGATTAAATATTATAACTTAATATATTGATAATAATTGCATTTTCCAGAACTTGAGCAATCCAGTATAACCTGATATCAACGAGACATTTTTATGTAGTCATTTTTTCACTGACAGGAATAGTTTTACAGACAGTATTGCATTTTACCTAAGATTTAGCATATATCTAACCATTGTTTAAATACGTTAAAGAGAAGAATCCTTTATTATACAAATGTTTTGTTGAGGTAGTTTGTTTTTCTTATTAATAATACAACTTCAGAAAATATTCTTTGCCAATGACTAAGAACTATTGTTCACAGTCAGTATTGAAGTCAATAGAGGTAAAGTTGGTTTTATATTCGGATATTCAGACTTTCTCCTTAATAATATAATTTCAAAAAAGCAATGCTTAACATTTCTTAATAGGGAAATTATATTAGCAGCAAATGATTATCAAAGTACAGCATTGTTCACAGTGAATTAGATAGAGTTAATGTTGTTTAGTAGTCATACTTGCATACTAATTCCTATCGAATATTCAAAGTAACATGGTAAACAATATAGACTGCTAAATTAACAAATGTGCAAATATAAAACCAACTTTACCTCTATTTGAAGTCATACTTCCATGCAGTTTCAGACTGAATATTCAAAGTCGTGTGGTTGTCTCTGTTTTTAAAATGAAGCAATGTGTAAATATAAAGCCGGCTTAACTTCAGTTTTTTCCCCATATAAACAATATTTGCTAACATTTAAGTCTAACATTGATTTAAGTGCACTTTTGGTGTTTCATTCGATTTTGTTCTGCATATTCGTATAGTTTTGTTGATGTCTGTGAGTTTTTTTTTTTTTTTTAAATGGTAAATGCTATTGATGATCGTTTTGTCGTGTTATGAAAATATGCATTTTTGGTGTCACAATACTATAAAGACAGTCATGTTCAAATGATGAATCTTATTCCTTTTCTTATACTTGTAAATTCTCATATTTATAATTTGTAAGTTTTCCTACAAAAATAAAGATTTTATCTCCTAGAAGGACAATTAATAATACATCTAATTAGTATGGTTTTCTATGGAATAAAAAAATAATAGGCAAAATTGTAAACAATTAGTTTTATATAACTCAGTGTTTATGTGCAACACATCTTGTTCACAGAAGCTTTTAATGTTGTATGTTATGTAATTATTTTCATTATCTTTTGCATAATGTGTGTGTTAATAAAGACATAATCTTTTAGAGACATGAACATGTAGAGTTGTAACTGTCAAAAACCCATTCGGGTCTGTTTTCACATCAGCGGTGTTTAATTATCTTGCTGTGTGTGTTTTCCTCAGAACACTCGTGGCCTGCGCTCTCAGCTGAAGGACAGTGTTCCTGTCACAGGTCTGTGTCCTCAGGCTGGTCCTTATGGGGTCCAAGACTCTCTGCGCAGAGGGTGAGTTTTGCCTACAGAAACCTGTGCTGTGTTTGTTTCTGCCTCTTTTACAATTTTTCTTTTGACATTTTTCTTTGCTCATAGGTTCTCTAGTGTCAAAAATGAGCTTCTACCGAGTCATCCATTGGAGCTCTCTGAGAAAAATGTAAGTGGAATGAAGAATTTGTCTGTCTGTGTGCAATTACATAGAACAAGCTCATTTTTGTACATATAAATGGTTTTAAATGGGCATACATGTGGGTCATATGACATAAAAATGTATATTTTTTAATTAAAACTTAAAATTTGTTACCCTGGAGCACAGAATATTTATGTTGTACAGGTATATTTTTAACAATATGCAAAAATACATTATATATACTGTTGAAGTCAGAATTATTAGCCTCCACTTGATTTTTTTTCCCTTTTTTAAATACTTCCTAAATGATGAACAGAGCAGGGAAATGTTCACAGTATGTCTGATAATGTTTTTTCTTCTGGAGAAAGTCTTATTTGTTTTATTTTGACTCGAATAAAAGCAGTTTTTAATTTTTTAAACACCATTTTATGGTCAAATTAATAGATAAATGCATTAAATCGACATGCATTCACGAGCGGTTGTCGCGACTCGCTAGAAATGAGAATCACTTGTAATGTTGATTAATGTAATATTGATTACACCTACCCCAACCATAAATCCAAAAAGCTTTGTTTTTCCCATCTCTAGCATAAACTACTATGGCTATACTGAAAAAGTCAGCAGATAGTTTACTTCAGATCATGGAGAAGAAAAAAACAAGCAAACATTTTAAACATGAATGTTACAACTTAGTTAAACCAGCAATATCAGTTACTCAGCTTGTACTTTTAATAATGTTTATGACTTTTAATATTCATTCATAAGATTAGAAACCTGTCCATTTTGTTGGGAGTTGTTAGAGCATGGTGTAACAAAAGTGTAACTCCACCTTGCTTTTTTTATTTATTTTTTATCAAACCAGTTTCAGCTTAACCAGGACAAGATGAATTTCAACACGCTAAGGAACATCCAGGGTCTCCATGCGCCCCTCAAACTACAGATGGAGTACAGAGCAGCTAAACAGGTATCATTCGTGATGCTTGTTTACATGTGAATTATGCCAATAACACTTCATGATCATTATGGAAGATGATCACGTGTAAACATTGTACTTTCAGATTCAGCGTTTGCCCTTCCTCCCAAGCTCAAATCTGGCTCTGGATACTCTTCGAGGCAGCGATGACACCATCGGCTTTGAGGACATTCTCAATGGTATGAAGGAAACATCCATGATAATAGCACAAAAATCACCGGTCAAGTGCTTAAAGGAGAACTATTATGCTCCTTTTTTATGAGACGTTAAAATAAGTCTCTGATGTCCTGTGTGTGTCTGTGAAGTTTCAGCTCAAAATATAACACAAATAATATTTTATAAAAGAAATTGATCCTATTTGTGCCATTTTGTTGACTGTTGCTTTAAATTCAAATGAGATTGTGCTCTCTTAAAAAGAGGGTGGAGCTACAAACACCTTTGTGTTAGCATAATGGCAGATTCAAAAACAGGACTGACAAGGGAGAGACAGTCAGTAATGTGCAGGGCTTTACCCCTCTAATGACACAATATTTAAAACAAGTGGCTAAGAAATAACTAATTAGATTTTTTTTTCTCATGAGCCATTAAAAATCCTTACTGTCTAACCCAATTGACCTTATTTTAAAATGCGGAAGTGCGCCTGTTTTCGCGATTGTCTTAGAACTTCCGTTTCAGTCGCCTATGGGAAAAAATAGTAGGAATAAAAAACGGTCAAAGTACTTTCTCTACAAACAAATGTTTGCATGACTATACAGACCAAGTAGAATAATATAACAAGGAAATATCAGTTTGCAACATCAAACAGCGAAACGAGCAGTTTTTAATGTCTAAAAATGAATGGAAGTGAATGAGACCGGAAGTCTCATGCCAAAAAGATTCAAATGGCTGCGCCCGCTCGTAAGGTGAATATAAGTCTGAAATTTCATTCTTTGTAGTCTTAAAAAGTCTTAAATTTGACTTGATGTAACCTGCAGAAACCCTGTTTTAAAACCAACTTGTATCTAATTAAAAACAAGGTAAATCAATCGATAATCGACGCACGACTACATTCAATCATTCATTTTCTTGTTGGCTTAGTCCCTTTATTAATCCGGGGTCGCCACAGCCGAATGAACCGCCAACTTATCCACCAAGTTTTTATGCAGCGGATGCCCTTCCAGCTGCAGCCCATCTCTGGGAAACATCCACATACACATTCACACACACTCATACACTACGGACAATTTAGCCTACCCAATTCACCTGTACCTCATGTCTTTGGACTGTGGGGGAAACCGGAGCACCCGGAGGAAACCCACGCGAAGGCAGCGAGAACATGCAAACTCCACACAGAAACACCAACTGAGCTGAAGTTCAAACCAGCGACCTTCTTGCTGTGAGCAGACAGTACTACCTACTGCGCCACTGCCTCGCCACGACTACATTGTTTAGACTAATTATCTTGTTACACCAAAGTATTTTTAATTTACTGAAAACTAACTTGAATTTAAAAAACACTTAATTTATTTTAGGTTTACAAATTAACCCTTGATATTTTTGCTCGAATGTTAAGTCTCATGTTGGTCATTTACTCCTCCAGATCCTGTGCAGTGTGAGATGATGGGAGATCCTCATATCATGACCGAATACAAGCTGGGTCTCCTGTAAGGATGCTTTTTCTGCACTTGTTTTCGCCCAGATCCTGTAGGTTGTGTTGTGTGCATTGTTTAACCGGTTTCTAATAAAATGTCAAATGTGAACTGAGAAATTGTCTTTGTGATGCTGATAACCTCAAACTGTATTGATTTCCTGTTAACTAATTGTGTATTTATATTACCCCCAACTACTTTTAATTGTAAATTATATTAAACTTTTTTTTAATTGTAAAAAAAATATATACATTTTACCCATACAAATGAAATATCGCTCTTATGTTAATGGTGTGTTTTGGGAGATAAGTAGGTAAATATTACTTCATAACTATAAAAATCCTCAACTAAACCTTTCCCTATTTGTGAAATAGTACATTTCTTTTATTAAAAAGACACTTCAAAAAGTTGAAATTCAAATCTAAATTTCATTTAAGTTGTTTCTGGATGTTGATCTAGGTGTTAGGTGTGGAATTCCACCATCTGTTGGTTAGTGATGAAGCTAAAAGGGTTACAGTTTACAAAAGACAATGATTTGTCCAGCAGTAAGCTATGCATTGTTCTGGATTTGACCAACAGCATGTACCAAAACATATCTCAAAATCTTTCAGAGAGTATTAGATTTGTGCTCTAGTACCAGCTCTTCTCTGTTTGGAAGTCTTCAGATTTTTCAGACAAATGAAAATTCATATTGACCCCAAATTCAAGAAGTGTACAAAAGTTTGACACCTTCAGAACAACTTAATTAAGTCCAGATTTTAATAGTGAAAACTTACAAAATCTGGTTCTAATATCCTTTTTTCATAAGGAAAAGTTAATTGGGATCAAATGTTAAACTAAACACCCATATTTACAGTTGATGCAAGATTATTAGCCCCCCTTCGATTTATCTTCCTCTTTTAATTATTTCCCAAATTATGTTAAACAGAGCAAGGCAATTTTCACAGTATTGATAATATTTTTCCTTCTGGGGTCCTTTCTTCGTACTTGGTTACTCAGCTGGATTTGGATGTTGACGATTTGACATGAACCAGGATCATTTCGTTCTTCAAAGCTGATCCGAGAGTTGTTGTCATAGCAACAGTTCTGGTAGATCAAACCTGCTGGACAGCAGGCTCAATTCATATAAACAGGATTAGATCGGCTCAGTTCATGCAAAGAAAATACTGAAAGTATGTACCAAATGCTGATATGCTGATATGCTATATATATAAAGTTATAGTTATTAACAAAATAAAGTTATACAAATTAATAAAACTTATGCAATCTGCACCCTCGAAATGAAAGTACAAAGACTGCCATCTGGTGGTGCAAAGAGAAAACTTATTGGTATGAACTTTTTAGATCGCTTTAGAACAATTTGTGTATAATAGAAATGCACAATATGTGACTTTTTTTAAAAGCAATAAAACATTTATGCAGTCATAAACATGTTTTGACAGTTAATGTGACGGTGATTTGATGCTTCACAAAAGTTGCAGACACCTTTACCAATATCAAAATGCTTTTGTAAACAACCAGTTATTCTTTACACCGATATAAAAAACGGCTACTATAATAAAGACAATCTTTTCTAAATGTAGAACTACATCCATTGATTCGCATTGAAATACATGATGAATACACTTGACACATGAAAGTGTAAAGCCTGCAGGTCACAACAAATGTGGAAAATTATTGTGTGTCTTATTTAACAAGCCGTTTACTGCTAATTTGATGTAATTTTGATCACATGGATAACTGAATATTAATCAGATGATGTCATTACGCTGCTGTGCCGTCAGCCAATCGTTGCATTGCTGATCATGAACACACTTACCTGTAGGTTTCAAACAAGCCTGAAGGACTTAATTAGTTTGATCAGGTGTGTTTAATTAGGGTTGGAACTAAACTGTGCAGAGCTGCGGCCCTTTTGGAACTGAGTTTGACACCTGTGCTCTAAGCAGTTTTTTTAATTTTCTACAGAACAAACCATCATTATACAATGACTTGCCTAATTACCCTAGCTCAGTGGTCAACTTTATCAAGTAACACCTCAGAAATAAATTGTCTCTCCAAGTACCACCATAATGATGAGGCACATTAATTCCTATTATTAAGACTATTTATTATTTTTAGCCACTTTAAACATAATAAATAGTTTGAACATTAACACTCTACTGTGCTTATAGTGAAAACAAAAGGTCAACGTTTAAAATCTGCTTTTTAAAGTTAATTAAAAATGTCATTTTGTCTTTTTTTTTCAATTTATGTATGGTTCAAAAAAAAAAAAGAAAAAATGAAAATACCTTTGTAATTGAATACCTTTAATGTACTGTACCTTTTGTCAAAAACACAATAAAAAAAATAATAAAGTTAATTAAAAATAAAACATTTTAAAAATTAAAAATGGTAGGCTACTGTTCCTAAAGTAAAAAAGAAAACTGCTGTACTTAAATGTAAAGTATTAACAAATAGTAACTTATTCATCAAAATCTGGAAATGTTGCTTGGACCTCATAAATATAGGTTATGTTATCATATTTACATAAACTATTTGTGATCAATTTTGCAATATGTGTTGCATGTACACGATATTTGTTTATCATTGAAATCTAAAAATTAACTTGTATTTAAAAATAAATGATATGGAATTACATCTAAATTAGAAATGATATCCGCTTGTCAGAAAAGTGAGGGATTATATGCAAAGGTACACTGCTTGCAGGGGCGGACTATGACTAACAATCAGCCCTGGCACTGTAGCCACACTACCCAATTCACCTATAGCACTTGTTTGTACTTGTGAGAGAAACCATAAGGAACATGCAAACTCCACAAAGAAACACCAAGTGACCCAGCAAAGGCTCGAACCATCTACCTTCTTGCTGTGAGGCGACAGTGCTACCCACTGCGCTGCCCCCTTTCGAGACTATTTCAGCTATTTTATGCATTTTTAGGCAGCGTCTGATTTTAGAGCAATTTTTTGCTTTCTCTGAGCTTTCACGCACCGCCTTTCCTTTTTTACGGTCCATCTCTGACAATTAGCTTGTGTTTCACTTACTGTTTGTTTGGCATTCTTGCCAGATTTTGATTACTTCCGCATAAGCTCTGATTGGGCGGGCCCCTCTCGAAACCAGCCAGACATTGCCGATTGGGCCAATGCTTAACATTTATTACTATTATTACTATCATCATCATCATCATCGTCATATTCACATCTTGCATGAGATAAAAGCTGCCTGCATGTAAACACAATACATGTGTATAAAAAAAAAAATTAATTAGCATACCAGCCCACATTTAAAAAAAATGGTCCGGCCCTTCTGGCATTTGCCAGAATTGCCAGATGGCCAGTCCGCCCCTGACTGCTTGACCAATTCATACATGCGACTTTTGAATCACATCCAGATAAATTAGCCTAAATCTGAGGTAACAAATTAATCCGAAGCCATGCTGCTTTACAAAACAAATAACTTTATATATCGAAAACATGCATTATTTTACACAACTACGAACACAAGTTTAACACATTTGTGACCATTATTTTACCAATGATGCAGCATGGGGAAATTCCTCAGTTTGCAGTAACCGAGATGCCAACACAACAGCGTTGGTCTGCAAAAGCACTTCTCTAGCGTGTATCTGATTCGCAAGCGCCGCGGCCATGTGCCTCATTCTCTGATCTGCACCAAAGCGGATTCATGTTTAGCATCTGAGATCCGATGTGATCTCCCAAGATCAATTTGAAGGTTAAACATGACCATTCACCAATGCATGATTATGTTGTTTATTACAAGAACTTTGAAACACTGTAAAAGTACTGGGATGCATTGTCACAGAATCATTAGATGAGGACATTCATAAATGAAGGCTTAAAAATAGCATACAGGGTTTAATAAAGCATCATGTACTAACCCCCCTTTCTTTTTTTACAGTTTTAACTCATCAGGATTTTTAAAAAAGTAATGGTTACAATTTGGGTTGTAGCTCTGTAAATGTGAACTGTATTCAGTATCAGCCATGCTGAAGCAAGTGACAAAGCAGTGAGGATATGAAATGCTGGATCTGAAGGACACACTTGTGAACAACTCAAAAGTTAAACATGCTTTAAAATGACAAAACTATACATATTTACAGAAATAAAACAACAGACTGATGCCCTTAGGGCAAGTTCAAAACCTTTCAGTCCAGCTTTTCTTCTTGGAAGAAATCGGCAGCATTGAGATGCTCTTGAAACTCGTCGTATTGCTAAACAGATCAGAGAGAAAGAACAGGAATCAGTGGGTTCATACACATTTAGGGCCTATATACACTCAATCTGTGTTTCCATGCATGTTCACTGATTCAGTAAATTACAGCTGAAACTGCTATCAAACATGCATTCATGAATCTGATTCTCTTCTGCTTCCACTGTGCAATTTGATCTTATTCTACTCTTAATAATTCTCTGGTCTTGTTTGACATCATCTTTTTGCTTAGACCCGCTCACCACTTATTAGGTCAAAGCTTTCTTACCTTTGCTATCCAGTTTAATAACCGACAAACATTATTTTGGTCACACTTTACAATAAAGTTCATTAGTTAATGTTAATTAATGCATTTATTAACATGAATAAACAATGAATAAAACATTTACTACTGTATTTGTTCATGTTATTAAACGTTAGTTATTAAAAATACAGTTCATTGTTAGTTCATGTTAACTCATGCTGCATTAACTAATATTATCAAGCATAGACTTGGATGTTAATAATGCATTAGTAAATGTTCAATTATGAATAATAAATGCTGTACATGTGTTGTTCATGATTAGTTCATGTTAGTAAATGCATTAACTAATGAACCTTATTATAAAGCGCTACCATTATTTTCTTACCACAGCTATTTTTCCTTTATCTTTTAACCCTCGTGTAGGTAATAAATCCAAGGATTATGAAATCTGTTCATATAATGCACATTCCAGTTCACATTGTGACCACAACACCACTCCGTGTGCGCATTACCCTCTAATAATTCAACAGCCTGTCGTCAATTATTCCTAACAAGCCTAAAGGGTTAGTTCACTCCAAAGATGAAAGATTCCGTCATTAATTACTCGCCCTCATGTAGATCACCTGAATCCCCCGAGAC